ACAAAACACACGTGATATCCCATTACAGTGTGTACATACACACATAGAAAATGGAAGGATGATGCTGAAGTGTTTTTAGATTTTGTGATTACCTCCAGATGACAGGATTATGACTTTTGGCTCTTATTTTTCTACAGTGTGTGTATCATTTTAAAGATTTTGGTTTTTTTTTAAGTAACCTCCACATCCAATGCAGGACTCGAACTAACAACCCCAAGATCAAGAATCGCATGATCTACAGACTGAGCCAGCCAGGTGCCCCTATTTTTAAACCTTAAGTCATTGCCTGTGGATAATGTAAAGTAAATACACAGGCAAGACAAACTAGAAGGAGAAAGTGCAGCACTCACATCCCTGTGACGAGATGCTTAGCTTCTCATTTCCAAGGATTTGCTGACAGAAGCTGAGTAACTCAAGAAACGAAAGGTGTGGTCAGAAGACAGGCACTCTCAATGTTCTGCAAACTTACTGTGCTCAGGGACTCCTGATTTTCCTGTATTTCCTCAGAGCCCTGTATTCTAACTACTTCTAAAGGCTGTTGTGTTTTGGGGTTTTTTTTTCTTTTTTAAGATTTTATTTATTTGAGAGAAAGAGCGAGAGAGAAAGAGCAGAAGTGGGACGGGGCGGGGAGGCTGAGGCAGAGGGAGAAGCAGACTCCCTGCTGAGCAGGGAGCCCGATGTGGGGCTTGATGGTTAAGGCAGATGCCTAACCAACTGAGCCACCCAGGTGCCCCTAAAGGCCGTTTTTATCTAAAAACAGTAGTGTACTTCTTCACATTAGTCTAGGTCATCAAATTCTTTATTTAAAAGAAATGAAAAATATTCACTGGACCCAAAAAAGGGGAGCACTGAGAAATGTACAGAGTTCTTGAATCAGTATATTGTACACCTGAAATTAATATAACACTTTTAACTATACTGGAATTAAAATTAAAAAGTTATTCAATGGACCCTAAACTTCAATTACTATAATTTATAATCTAAAATTATATTTTTATATATATAAAATATAAAATATATATTTAAATTATATATAAACATAAATATTAATTCATTACAATTATAATCTAATATATTTAAAATTATAAGCTACAAAACATTTATGATTCTTGGGTAAAATAGAAAACTAGTTTAAAAAATTTATATATACAAAAATTTATATAAACTTAAAGTACATTAAAATTTTTTTTTCTTCTCAAGCCAGGGAATAAATGAAAAAACATCTAGAAATACTGCCTATCAATTTACTTATTGAACTGGTTCAGAAACATTTTCCAGGAAATGGGAAACCTCTCAATTTGACAGGAAAAGAAAAAAAATGAAAGGGAAGCTGAAAGAAGTATCATTTGGTGATGAGTACATGCTATTATGCAGCCCATGAACAGAAGTGGCTTACGTTATGAAATACCCCAAACTCCAAAAGCTTACAACTTGAAAACATATTACTCAGTGGTACAGAACAACAATGTGGACCTTGAGCTGTACCACCCAACACTAGAGCCACCAGCCCCACGTGACTACCGAGCGCTTGAAATGTGGTCAGCTGGAAATGTGCTGGTAAGTATAAAATACACACAATACTCCAAAGACTTACTATGGGGGGAAAAAAAGCAAAATATCTCATCAATAATATTATACTGATTGTTTGAAATGATAATCTTTTTATATATTAGGTTATAAAACACATTACTAAAATTAGTAGTACCTGCTTCTTTTTGTTTTAACTTAATCTAGCTACTAGAAAATCACATAGCACTGGTCTAAAGAAAGCAGATACCAGGAAAAGAGAAAAGTTATGCAGAGTACACAACCATGGTAATCATGATCAGACTGCATCAAAAGAATATGTTCCAATACTTAAGATTTTTACAAAACACACACGCACATAACACAGGCACGGCCACGTACCCTAATCAAGCCATCAGAACAAACCCTGTATTACCGTTACACCGTCAGCTCGGCAGCCTGCACTCTGATAGAGGGAACAGGTGCCATAACCTAATTTCTCACACTCACAGCCCTGGAAGGCGGGAGCGGCCAGATGTGAGAAAGGCCAAAGCAGAAATCTGATGCTCACAACAAGCACAAGCTGAAAGGTCCTCAGGGGGCCAGGGGCTCTTGCACTGGAAGCTCAGGACCAGCACAAGAAACCTAAATAAAACAAACAAGGTCCATCCAAGGGTCTCAAATCCAGAGGGGCTTTGTAACTACTGAATTGCAAGATCTGGTTTTGTATGACAAAGCTAAAACAAAATAATAACCTGTATTTTTGTAAAAAAAAAAAAAAAAAAAAAAAAAAAGAAGGAATGGGACAAATTTATTGATGAGACTTTTCCATACCAAACAGAAAGTCAGCCAAGGACTTAGGCAATTTATCAACAGCTGGTCTTAATCCAACACTAACACACTGATTTTATAACACATCCCACTGAAAAGGCCAGCACTCACCTAATGTGCTTGGAGTCCCTTCATAGTAACTGTTCCATAGTAACCATCGTCCTTCCTTACCTTCTTATGCAAGCTCCCTGATCATCATCAGTGTTTACATAGGTTTTTGAAAGTACCCATTTTTTCCAGTAAATATTTAATTCTCTTGTTGCTACTGATCAAACTATCAACAATGAGCATTTTATATAACATGTTTAGTTATGAGAAAGTGGGACACTGACGTCAAGAGCACGCAGTCTATAAACCAAAGACACCAGAATTACCAGACACAGCCTCTCGGAAATCAGCCACCAATAAAACACAGTTCCTCATAGCTCAAAGTCTTTAATCCAGTTTCTATCCGAGTCCCTCCACATCTACAGATCAACTTGTAAAATGTGCCTGCAATCAGACCGGGGCACATGGTCAGCAGGCTCCTGGCACTGGGCAGAGCTGGTGTTCTCTGCTAGGAATACCCAGACAGTGAACTATCACCTGTATGCTCCTGATCACATACTAACTGGCAAGCCTTCTCTTTTCTCAGCTCTGTAAACTTCCTATTTAGGATCTGTACTGGGGTGGGGGAGAGGGGGAGTTAAACTAACCATTTGGCTAGTTTCCTAAACTGCCACAAGTCTCAGCGGCATTGATGGAAATGGATTACGTGTGAAGCCGTCTGCCATTTCAGTGGACTGGGACAAGGAGTGAATTATAGAGACATGATAATTATCAAACTGGGCATGAGCACTCAGAGAAAGGATCTCAAAAGGGCCCGAAATGGTCAGAAATGAATTTGGGGAAGTGGGACTTGGGGGGTCAGGCTTGGATAACAGAACGTTCTGAGCGGTAGACCACCATGGAGACCAAGGTAGGCAGAAGTATGGCAAGTCTCTAGGCCATGAAACCAGCTCAGCCACAGCATACAATGGGAGGTGGAGGACGAAAACCCCTTGCAGGGTCAAGGGAGTCCAATGTAAATGCAACACAGTTTTATGAAACATGAGTTCCTAGCCAGGTAAGGAGAACAGAAACAGTCCACCACTGAAAAATCTCAAGATGGAAGGTCAAGAAGCTACTGTGTTAATCCAAGTGTAAGGATCTTGGCAACTGGGATGGCGGAAGGGACAGTGAGAAAAAGGAACAGAGGGAGGGATTTGAAAGAGAACAACAACAAAAATCAATCAAAGATTTGGTGTCAAAAAGGACCTCTAAAAAAAGAACAAGAGTATCTCCCTTAAATAAGGAAACGGGCTTGACAAGGCAAGTAATGAACAAAGTCTGGACATGCTGAATTTGATCCGGGGGTGACAGTACACCCGACAAGCGCCCACCGAAGACCAGATATCTGAGAGAGAAGCTCTGTGCACAAACAGAGAAAGAGAGGTGCGAACTGAAATACAGAGACAGTAACTGAAACTCTGAGAGCTGAGAAACCATGTAGTTTGCAGGTATCCCCAGACAGAACCAGTCTTCCCCTCACCTCCCTTGCGCTTAATAAATATTACTTTTAAGAATGGATTACATATAATTTGACACCAGCTTAAGAAAAACAAAAAAAGCTGCACACAGAAAAAGTCAAAGAAATCCACAAATCTTCACAGTGGTGTCACTAGGTGGTAGGATCAAGGATCTTCCTCTTAAATTCTTGGAGTTTCCGTGGGTTTTTTTGTTGTTTTTGTTTGTTTTTTTAAGCAGTAAGTATAGATTTTCTATTAGAAAATGAAAAATTTTTTTAAATGATCCCCTTTCAGCATTTGTGAAAGCTCTTATAATTGTGACTTTTACTGTTTGTAAATTAAAAGTAAAATAAAAGTACCACTGACATAACATTCTATACCTATCACACTGAATAAGTTAGTTTTGACATGACAACCTGTTTGAGAGAATGTTTATTAATAGGAGTGTCAACTCTTGCAGCTTCCCTACAGGACAATTTGTCAAAATTTAAAAAACTAAAAAATCTTAAGCACTATACCCAACAATTGTACTGCTAGAAACTTACTTATGGGTATTCTCCCTAAAATACATACAAAAAATTTCATTGCAGTATTGTTTGTAATAGCAAAAAATTTAAAATAACCAAAATGCCCATCAAGCTTTGGGATGAGAGAGGGTGGGGGACCGGGAATGCAATGTAATAATATCAGTAATAATGAGGAATGCTTGAAAAAGAGAGAAGAGGTCTTCAATCTTTACCCCCAGGGTTCAGACCTGGGACCCCAGACAAGGAGCCTCAATTGGCAATCAGTACTCAAATTTTTACTGATAAAAAAAAAGTCAAAAGCATATAAAGGAAAATGAAAATATTTACTTCCTACCTTATTATTACCTGTAAATGGCAAGACTTTGCCTATTTTCTACTTTAATCTGCTTACAAGGAATTTGGCCTAAAGCAGTCCATTACCTTATCATTAGCATTAATGGAACAATTAATTATTCCCAAGATTGCATTTAGACTGTTGGTGACAGGTGCAAAGGACAAGGTCAAGCACAAATGAATTCTAACACTAAAGGGCTGTCAGCACAACTGCACGGTGAAATGCAGAACGAAAAAGACTGGGTTTCAGACGCACCTAAATGCCGCACCGTGGACCTGTCCATATGCTTTCCGTTACAAGCCGCTGAGCTACATTTCCTCGTGCTGCTGAGGTCCAAGCTCGAAACCACAGGGGGATCCCGGTTAGCAGAGTCAAGACCTAGCTAGAGAAAAACAGATGGTAAATAAAAATGGAGTAATAATGAACCTACCAGGAGGCACTCCACATGAACAGAGAAGCCTACTTCTCACTCAGCTGTGCCCAATCCTAGAACTTGCTCTGTGACGACTTCATTCTTGAGGAGCACCTAGGAGGCCCCAGCCAGCCCCTGGGCAGAATCACACATGGCACCCTCATTCCCTTCAAAATCGGCTCTTAATCTGCACTGAATATTTTGGAAGATGGTATTTTAGAATACCTGGGAAAAGCAATTTTGTACTTAACTGGGGTTTCTTCCTTGGTAATCTTTTAAACTCCATATTCCCTAGCGTAAGACCTCAATTTACCCAAAAAAAAAATTTAAAGATTTTATTTATTTATTTGACAGAGAGAGAGAGAGAGCACAAGCAGGGGGAGTGGCAGGCAGAGGGAGAAGCAGACTCCCCGCTGAGCAGGGAGCCCGATGCGGGACCCAATCCCCGGACCCCAGGACCATGACCTGAGCCAAAGGCAGACGCCCAACCGACTGAGCCACCCAGGCACCAAAAAAAAAAAAATCTTTTTACAGACTTCTCTAGTGCTCACTACGTGCCAGGCACTGTACTAAGTACCTCTTAAAATTTTTTTAAGATTTTATTTATTTATTTGAGAGAGAGAGCAAGGTCAAAGAGCAGGAGAGAAGCAGTCGGGGAGGGAGAGCGACAAGAAGACTCCACCGAGCACAGAGCCCCACGTAGGGCTCGATCCCACAACCCTGAGCCACGACCTGAGCCGAAACCAAGAGTCAGATGCTCAACTGACTGAGCCACCCAGAAGCCCCATTACCTGTTAAAATTAATAAAGGGAAACGTCACTAATGTGGAGTGGAGAAGAAAGTAGGGGAGGCTCTAAGGGGAAGCCGGAGGGGGAGCGAGTCCACTCAATTACAGGAAGAATTGTCAATTATAGATCCTAACAGGAGAATCTCAATAGGAAACAATCATCAATGATAGGCCCCAAAAGGGAAAGATGTACATTGCAGCTCCTACAAGAAATCTGCTACCCTTGCCAACTCAGCCAATGACAAGCCACCATCACCCTGAACTAGTGTCTTCCTCCAATAGGCTTTGCCTCAAAGCCACCCCTCCTAACTTCTTCCTTCTCCATAAAATCACCTTCCTCTCTGTTGGACTTGCCTATGGTGTGGCCATGGCTTAATGCCCCAAATAAACTCATTTTTGCTGGTAAAAACTTATTTTTAAGGTTAACATTATTTGGTGATTAGAAGTGGGATCCAGAAGACTGCCAACAACTCCAAGGCTGGTGAGCAAATAGGTACCCATACCCACAGAGCTACCTGAGCTCACTGCTTTCTCCTCAAACCTAGAATTTGAAGGTAATTTTTCTCCTGGATTTTGGGCTCTGTGTTTTAAGCTCTCCAAGAATTATTTGGGACCTGTTTTGAGGCTTTGTCCTTTATAAGCAGCTCATTTGGCCTTTGGTCCAACTCCTATTATGAACCAGGCTACTCCTACTGAAACTGTGCTAGCCTTTCACCCAACTTCCTGGGAACAAGGCTGTGCCTACTGGAACAGAGCTGGCCTTTGCTCGGATTCCTTTTAGAACCAGGCTGTTCATACTGTTTAGGAATTTTTCTTTCTTGCTCTAGAAAAAAAACAAAACCCTAAGAAATGAGATCCCAGTCATCAAAATGTTTTGAGGGTGCCCCCACTTCTGGGACCCTAGCCAGGTTTATGTTTAAAAACTGTGGTCCCGGGCGCCTGGGTGGCTCAGATGGTTGGGCATCTGCCTTCGGCTCGGGTCTTGATCCCGGGGTCCTGGGATCGAGTCCCGCATCGGGCTCCCTGCTCGGAAGAGGGCCTGCTTCTTCCTCTCCCTCTGCTGCTCCCCCTGCTTGTGCTCTTTCGCTCTGTCAAATAAATAAATAAAAATCTTTAAAAAATAAATAAATAAATAAATAAAATAAAAAAATGAAAACCGTGGTCCCTCTTCATGCACAAAGTAACTTAGAACTCCAATGGCCATTACAGGGAATGTGCCATATCCCCAAACTTACTCTTCTCAAAAATTAATTGGACAGCCATGGCTCTAAAATTGTCAAAACTGAATGGGATGCCTACTTTGGGATTTTGAAGCTTTTCAAACATTATCAGGAATCTAAAATTGCCTGTCTGCAAAATACAATTTCTAGACTAACAGAGGCAAACAAAGGGAGAAAAGGGCTTCTGAGGCCTTTTTCCTTCCTGTCTTCTATGTCTCAGGATGTGCAGCAGCTGTCTTGCGTTCAGTCCTGAACTTCCCTTTTCCTCTGAAACTCTCCCCACTCCCTCCTTTCCTGAACGTAATAAAAACTGCCCCTTTAAAGTGAAGTCTTCTGAGGATCCAAATAAACCCCAAATCTCTTATGTTCCCTGGACCAAGGCCAGACTGTGAGCCAGAGTTGAAGAGTTTCCTAAAGTGACTCAGAACTCACAATTACTAAAGAATTTAACATAGTTATTCTAACTTACCACCCCCGGTTTCTCAGATTTGTATCAGTCAGGTCATGTGCTTGTTGGTGAGGACCAGGCCAAATGCTGGATGAAACTAGCCCCATGAGAACATCCTAAAAGATTTAGAGACACAAACCCCTAAAACTTTGGCAAGATTCTAGAACGCTCACTGGAAACCTCCACCGGGCAGTTACGGTAGCTTTTCCTAAGCCTGCTGATTGGAACAAAATTCAGGCTTGCACACAAAATCCTGATGAACCTGGTCACAACTCCTATAACCAACTCCAAACCGTCTTTAAAGATTCTGGGCTTCCGTAAGAGGCTGAATCCACCTGGGTAGCCTTTAACTCTACATTTACTAACAGGCAGAACCAGGATCTTTTAGTTGAAGGACCAGCATGGAATGGGAAACTCAGTCCACTCCAGAGTTCGCTAGCTTGGCAAACCAGCTCACTCACACCCAGCAGGGTCACCTGAAAGAAAGAACCAAAATTCTCAATTTTCAACTCTGGCAAATGAAGGCCCCTAAACAGACCCAAACCCCCCGGTTTCTGTTATTGGTGCAAAGGGCCTGGGCACTGGAAAAAAGACTGTTACACACTTAAGCATTCCAGAAGCCTTCAGCCCTCTAGCCAGCCTTTCTAGGGTCCTCCTAATTCCCAGTGATGGGGCTCCAACGACCGACAGGGACTCTTCCCAGTCCCCCCTCTTAATTGGCTTGGAGAAACCACTCTCCAGACTGAGAATCAATCTCTTTGTCTAACTGACCGTAGAGCTACATTCTCGGAGCTCAGCACCACTCCTGGAAAGCAGGCCCTGCAGGCGTCAGAACATGAAAACAGCTCCGATAGTGGGGGGTCTCTCATAAACCTCAACAGGTTCCTGTCTCTGCCCCTATTCCCTTTGGTTTAGGCCCTTTGAGAGATTCCCACCCTTTAGTTTCTCTACCCCATTCACTGACTGGGCCAAGATTTCTTAGAAAAGTATCATGCCAGAATTTCTCCCAAAAGAAGGAAATCATTCTAGAATCAAAATTGCCAACCAGGTGGATTCAATGACCCTTCAACATCTTCTATTTGCTCCATCTCTGATGGCACGATGGGGGAGTCTGGGGACACTGCTCATTTGTCCTCATCGGGTCAGCTACCACCCTCTTTATGGGCAGATTCCTCAACTGATATTGGCAGAATTCACAGCGCGCCTCCCATCAAGATTCAAACCGATCCCTCACCACCTCTCCCCAGAACGAATACGCTATAAATAAAGAAGCCCTTTAAGGCATCAAGCCCGTAATAGGAGACCACGGGACTCAGGGCCTTATCATTCCCTGCACTAGTCCCTGGGAGCCCCTATTTTACCTGTGAGAAGACCCAGTGGGGCCAAGGATGGAGGTTAGTCCAGGACCTCGGAGCAATAAGTAACATTATCCCTGGGCACCCTGTTGTTCCTAACCCCCATACACTGACACTGAAAGCAAATCCTTCTCCACTGTAATTGTTCTATATAGTGCACTTTTGGTATTCCAGTTCATAAGGATAGCCCGTATCTTCTTGCTTTCACTTGGGAAGAACAGTAATAAACCTGGACAATAATGTCCCAGGTTACTCTTTACAAACCTTAAAAGCTGATATGGAGGATAAAAAGTTTTCTGCAGGCTCCTGTTGGTTACAATATGTGTATGTTCTGCTTCTCTTCTCCCTTTCTCCAACCTCTTCACAGGAGACAGCATTCACCTGCTAAAACTTGTGGCCTTAAAAGGACATAAAGTTTTCAAGGAAAAATTGCAGCTTGCACAAACTCAGGTTCATCTTAGGGCACCTGATCTCAGAACAAGGACTACATTTAGATGCAGGTAGGTTTCATGGCATCCTGAACCTCCCAAAACTTAAAACTAAGTGCCAATTATGAAGTTTTCTTGGACTGGCTGTCTACTGTCAAAACTGAGATTCCAAACTTCTCTCTTACAGCTCAACCATTGTATGCTTCACTTAAAAATGACAAACCTGACCCTGTCATTCAGAAAGATCGAAAAGACCAAGCTTTGGAGACTTTAAAGAAAAGCCTAATAAAGCCTCCTGCCCTCGCACATTCTAATTATCAACTTTCCTTTTCCTCGCTGTTTGTGAGAAGGAAGAAAATGCCTGGAGTACTTGCTTGCCCCAAAATATGGGGGACCATCACTGACCCATCGGGTAGGAGAGCCAACCACTGGAGCCTGTGGCCAGGGATGTCCCTTCTGCCCCCACCTCTGAGCCATTCCTGTCACTGCCCTTCTGGTTAAGGCCAGTGAAGAAAGAGTCACAGGACTCCCTCTAACCAAGCTCGTGCTGCATGCAGAAGCCCCCCACAAATTCTCACCACACTCAACACCTCAGTCAGCTGCCTCCCCTCCTAGGAGATCCCCCTGCTAACTGCTCCTCACAGAACTCCTTCTCACTGCAATAACCTTAATCAAGCCGCTATTCTTCTCTCCTCCTTCACGGAGGAGACCACTCACAACTGCTTAAGACTGACAGATCACCTCCTGACTCCCTGTGACAATTCCTAGGAAACTCCTCTAACCAAGGCAGATTTTTCATGTTTTACTGATGGTGCTTATTTAAAGGATGAAAATGACAAATATTGTGCTGGGAATGCTAGTGCAGAAGTGACTGAGGCAGGGCGCCTGGGTGGCTCACTTGGTTGGGCGACTGCCTTCGGCTCAGGTCATGATCCTGGAGTCCCGGGATCGAGTCCCACATCGGGCTCCCTGCTCAGCGGGGAGTCTGCTTCTCCCTCGGACCCTCTTCCCTCTCATGCTCTCTGTCTCTCATTCTCTCTCAAATAAATAAATAAAATCTTTAAAAAAAAAAAAAAAAAGAAGTGACTGAGGCAGCACTTCTATACCTTTAGCTACTTGAGCCCAACAAGGCTGAGTTACATGCCCTTGGTCAAGCTTGTACCTTGGCCAAAGGTAAAACCACAAACATTTACACCCGTAGCTGGTATGTCTTTGGGTAGCTCAGAACTCTGGAATGTTATGGCAACAATGGGGTGCCTTTACCTCCAAAGGGGATAAAATTAAAAATGGCTCCTAGGGGGATAAAGAAGATGCGGTATATATACACAATGGAATATTATGCAGCCATCAAAAGGAATGAGATCTTGCCATTTGCAACGACGTGGATGGAACTGGAGGGTGTTATGCTGAGGGAAATAAGTCAATCAGAGAAAGATATGTATCATATGACCTCACTGATATGAGGAATTCTTCATCTCAGGAAACAAACTGAGGGTTGCTGGAGTGGTGGGGGGGTGGGAGGGATGGGGTGGCTGGGTGACAGACATTGGGGAGGGTATGTGCTATGGTGAGCGCTGTGAATTGTGCAAGACCGTTGAATCACAGATCTGTACTTCTGAAACAAATAGTGTAACATATGTTAAGAAAAAAGAAAAAGAAGAAGAAGATAGCAGGAGGGGAATAATGAAGGGGAGTAAATCGGAGGGGGAGACGAACCATGAGAGACAATGGACTCTGAAAAACAAACTGAGGGTTCTAGAGAGGAGGGGGGATGGGTTAGCCTGGTGATGGGTATTAAAGAGGGCACATTCTGCGTGGAGCACTGGGTGTTATGCACAAACAATGAATCATGGAACACTACATCAAAAACTAATAATGTATGGTGATTAACATAATAAAAAATTAAAAATAAATAAATAAAAAATAAAAATGGCTCCTAGGGTCAAGATTCATTAAATGCCATACTTTTGCGAGCTGCTCTTTTATTAAGGTTCCTGGGCATTCCAGACTCGACTCTCCAGAGGCCAAAGGAAACCCCCTGATACTTCCCCCAAAACACGCCTCTCAAAGAAATCAAGAGCCAAACCTCTGTCACAGTCCAAAGGGATGTTCTAAATGAGGATTCTGAAAAACTGACTAGAGACACCTGATAACTGGCCCCCAGAAAGGGAAAAACAATATTGGAAATCTAATCATTGTTGGTTGGATTAAAAAAAAAAAAAAAAACAAAAAAAAAACTGTGGTTTGGACCAAATAATCTGTCCCAATTCATGAAACCAATACGGTGGGGAAATAGAAATAAAGCCGCAAAAAGTGCCTACCCTCGCTTGCCCCACGTGTCCGAAACACAATGCAGAAAAACACGTTCACACTGCTCACCTGAAATTACCTAAGGGGCCATTCGCGGTTTGGCAAATGGATTTCATATAGCTACCCTCATCTCATGGATTTAAATATGTTTTAGTCATGGTTTGTAGGTTTTCTCCCTGGGCCAATGCTCTCTCTTGTAGACAGACCACTGCTGCTTCTGTAGATAAAATTCTATTAGGAAAAAAAAAAATTCCCAATGTGGAGAAACCCTCTTTAAAAGTCATAGTAATCAAGGAACCCACTTTACCAAGCAGGTACTTCAGCAAGTCTGTGCTGCACCGCCAGTTTTACAACACTTCCATCCTCAATCCTCAGGTTAGTCCAATGTACTAAGGGCACTATTAAGATTCAACTGGAAAAATTTGCAGAGATCTCCCACATTATCTTGGCCTAAAAGCATTGCCTTGATACTTCTAAACTCAGCTCCACCCCTCTGGAACTCAGGCTTTTACCCTTTGAAATAATCCGAGAACATCCAACGCACTTGGCTCCTGCCTTCTTTGACCCATGGTTGATAAAGATATACTTGAATATTGTAAAAGCCTAGCTGCTCCTATTGAGAATAACCAGGCTTTGGTAGAGCAATTTTTTCACCATGCACTCTTGAGAGATGAAAACTTAAAGAATCACACCTTGCAACTGGAGATTTCATCTATGATAAAAGACACCTCTGGAAAAACTCTCTTCAACGTCGCTGGAAAGGCCCCTCTTAGGTACTGCTAACCAACCCTTGTGCTGCCAAACTCCAGGGAACAGACTCCTGCATTCACAGGACCTGTCTAAAGAAAGCAAACCCCGCCTGGACCTACACACCGTCTAATGACCCGAAAGTAAAGATTTCCCAGAACTGAAGCAGACAGCATCTGATGAGACAGCTTCCCCAAAATGTCCATACTTGGCCTGTTAGAAGGTTCAGGATTCACAAAGTCTCTCTTCTTCATCTGGACTATTAACAGAGTGTGGATTCTTATCCAAAACTCATGGTTTCTGAATTGTCAACTTTACTGTATTATTACATTTGGTTAGAACAGTTCTCTTGAGATAATAATACTGTTTTAAAGGGTCTTTGAAGTTCTGCTATTTTGCAAAAAGCCCACCAGCTATTGCTTCATATTTATACCTGCACTATACCTTCCCAAATTAACTCCGTTAATTCTCAGAGTGCTCCTGTTGTATTCATTATTCTATTTTCTTGACTGGCTCCAAGGGGCAACTTCTAGTAGGCATATAGGACTCTGGGTTTGACTCCTGTAGGGGGAATATTCCTCCCCTAAATTGGAATCAGTGCCAATGGATATTTTTAGTTGGCTACTTACAAAGATTTTTTTTTTTTTTAAGTAATCCCCACACCCAACATGGAGCTCGAACTCACAACCCCAAGATCAAGGGTTGAATGCTCCACCAAGTGAGCCAGCCAGGTGCCCCCTAGATGGCCTTCAGACCTAGGATCCTGGTTTAGAACCATCACACAATTCAAAAACGGTCATGTTACTTCTGATTCTGTACTTGCTGCCTATCAAACTTGTGTAAAAATGTCGTACCCAGGAGTGCCTGGGTGGCTCAGTTAAGCGTCTGCCTTTGACTCAGGTTGTGTCCCAGGGTCCTGGGATCAAGCGCCACGTCGGGCTCCCTGCTGCCCGCTTCTCCCTCTCTCTCTGCCTGCTGCTTCCCTTGCTTGTGCTCTCCCTGTCAAATAAATAAAATCTTTAAAAAAAAAAAAAAATTGACGTACCCAACAGACGATCTCCAACGCTTACAATCTTGATAAATACGCACTAGCGGTGGGAGATACCTGAGAGTTCTCCCTGCTCCCCCTCGTTACTCAAATGTGACCTCAGTAGGTTTCCAATCTATAGAATTTTCCCCCCAATGTGGGACATTACGCCCAGGAAAGGTCCTTCCGAGCACTGAGGGACAAAAGGCCACTGAATTAGAAGAATCTGCTGATCAGCAATGCTTTTGAAGAAAGAGCTTGGTCAAAAGGGGGAAAATGTGAAAATTTATAAAGGGAAACCTCACTAAAGTGGAGTCAGGAGGCTAGAAGGGGGAGTCAGTACCACTGAATGCCAACTGTAGGAAAAATTGTCAATTACAATCCCAACAGAAGAATCTCAACAGGAAAGAATCATCAATAACAGGCCCCAAAAGGGGAAAAAAGTACACAGTATCTCATATAAGAAATTAACCACCCCTGCAACTCAGCCAAAGATCAACCCTCCCCACCCTGAACTCCTGCTTTTCTCCAAAGGACTTTTGTTCAAAATAACCTCTTCCGATTTCCTCATTCTCCATAAAATAACCTTTTTCTCCTTTGTTTGCTGGACATAGCTTGCATGTCCAAAATTGCAGCTCTCAGTTAATAAACCCAAATAAACCCATTTTTGCTGGTAAAATAACTTTTTTCAGGTTAATGTACCATACCTGTGCAATTTCATTTTCACAACAACCCTCGGAAACTACTGGGTCCACACTTCACAAGAAAACCCAAGAGGGATGAGGCCTGGTCAAGGTCCTGGAGCTCCTACAAGACGTGACAGAATAGGGATCAGAGCCCATCACACCTGTGACAACTGAGCTTTATGACTCTACACTGCTTTCAACGTCACCACTATGATCAACTGGCAGTGCTGTATTTGTGGGGAAAGCAAGATTTGATTACTTAAAAAATGACCTTATTTTAAAGCATCTTACACATGTATTGGGAGGGTGCTTATAAAAAAAGCTGGCTCATATTCTATTTAGTAAGGTGGATTATCAACAGGTCACAGATGTTCATTTTATTGTTTTATATACTCTTATACCTGTGCATATGTTTCACAATAAAAAAGAACCCAGAGCCTGACCTGGGTGGCTGTCTCTGCAACACCACGCACCAGTCAGGAGCCTGGCCCACCATTGTAAAGAAAAATACAGGTGATGAGTTTAGCCAGATACCAAGAAGTTTCTTGTTAGAAAACGGTTATGCTGCAAACCCCTTTTTTTTCTTAAACGCTGCAACTCTTTCTACTGTTTGTTGTGAGTAGCCTCACAATCACTGATGGCTTTGAGGTAAAAAAGCACACAAATGCCATCGGAATTGTACCAGTCCAGCCTTGAAAAAGTCTCCAGTGAT